CTGCTCTGTGGGAGAAGGATGGGTAATCTCCTCCCGTGTGATTAACTGCCTCTGAAAACCTGCTGGAGGGTCATCTATGGGTCGGTTCCCATTCGACGGTACACAGCAGCATCAGCAGTGTGTAACAAACACTGACTAAATATGAACTAATAGTAGAATAATTTTGCTATAACAAATCACCAAGTAACTATTTTTAAATAGAAGCATGAATTTTAGCCTTCAAAATTGTAATAAACTTGTTATACCTTGGATCTTAATTTAAAATAAGTGCTTCTCTTTTCTTCCCTCTGGTCTTTGACTGATTGTTGTTGTTGTTGTGTACTGTGGAATTGGCACCGGCTCACAGCTGATCTTCCAGAGGATTTTCAGAGGCACTGACTTGTATGGGCTGAAGAGCAGCTGGCAGATTTCAATGTCTGGTAAAAATACCTAATTATGCCTAGTCACCTTGCTAATTCATTAAATTGAACACTCCATGCCCTGTAAAAGTAATGTTTCCAAATTTAGCCTGAGTTGTTCTGCTAACAAAACATAATGCCAAAGTGCATTGATGTCTGTAAAAGGTGAAAAGAAAAATAGATTTCTTAAGCAGCAATATAAATTATCTTTTCTACCTTGAAGAAGACACATGCCATGACAAAACAAGGAACACAATAGTCTCAGCGTTGCAATGATGCTTAAACAATAAAACATATTTGCTGCATAAATTAATGCAAACAGGATATGCAAAATATGGCCAAATTCATTATTTAATTTTCACTGATTAATTGAAATTCAGCTCTGTACAAGAATAGATTTGCTATAACTGCTAGAAGGTGCCATATGTCCACAGGCTACTGCAGAGCTTCTGGGCAAGAAAAACTAGGAAAAGGGACAATGTCAAATTATTTTAAAGCACTAAGCTCCTAAAAATGAAATTTCATTCAGTCATAAAATGGAATAAAATGAGGGAGCTCTGCTGGCCTAGTGGCAAGAAGTTGCACTGCAATCCCAGAGGTACGGGGTTCTAATCCACCAGATGTTCCACTGGAGAAGGAAGGGCAATCTCCTCCGGTACAG